CCGAAGACACCTCCGTAGTCATGTGGCTGGCATGACTAAACACCGAAGGTGCACGGAACACTGTTACCTTCCCACCAAAGGTAGTTCCTATTTTTTTACTTGCATTTTTATGTGCTTTTGAACTGCTAGGTTGGCAGAAGCTGGGACAAGTAACGGGAGCTCATTCCATTATGCAGCAATAGGGATTCGAACTGCCAAACTGCTGACCTTTCTGATCGACAACCTCAGCATCTTAGCCCCTGAGCCACCACGTCCCTTTTTTATTTATATTTATTTGTTTGTTTGTTTGTTTGTTTATTTACTGGTGCTTAAAGGCCACTCCAATTCAACAAGACTCTGAAAGATTCTTCAGTTAGGACAGTATAAAAAAATAACAGAACTAGATTAAGTTCTAGACTAAGACTAAGCCTATAAAAATAAATAACATCCAAGCACAAGCCAGAGTATGGGATTTCCATCAATAGCTGATAACTCATGTAATATTATCTGTACTAAATTTGCCTTTATTTTGCATAGACGAACAACGCGTTGAGATATAACAGGTATCTGTTTTATCTGACTTATTTAAATAAGGGCCATAGCAGAATTAATCTGTCAGAACAATCTCCAGGACCATTCGCTCCCATTAATCAATACATTTACCTGTAGATTGCTGCATCGGGTACCACCCCATAACAATTAAAATTTGAAGCTATGGTTCTCAAAGAGCAAATTTCTCTGATATAGAGCTGTCCTGAAATAATGGGATTCCCAAAATTCCCACCCAACATAATTAATGGTCACACATTTGGGAATTCTTTTTGTAACTGTCCACACTCATCTAAAGAACTCGGAATTGGTGAATGCTAGTTAATAGCAATAATAAAACTACTATCCCTTATGGAGATATTTTAATTGTATTCATAAACTTGAGTTTGCTTCCGAAATTCAAATTGTTATACATAACCTTCCCTGTCCCCTTTCTTCCCACAGTAACACCATGAGATACACAGGTTGGGTTGAAAAAGAACCATCAGCACCTAATCATCCAGTGGACTGAAGTTGGATTTAAGCGTAAATCTCTCTCCTGCTAGTCTAACACCTTAAATAGACCAAACAATACCCTGGGGTATAGCAGCCAGAGTCACATAACTAATCTATGGAGAGTCTCAGAGATGACTTTTTGTTGATTACAAAAACATGTTTTGAGCAGTGGTGGGATTCAATTTTTTTTTACTNATTTTTGTCCCTTCTTGTTTTCTTCCCTATACAGTATTTGACTCATTTATCTCTCCCCACCCCCCCTTATTTACTTTATATACATGCGGCATGAGAGCCCTCAGGATCCTAGAAAATGATTCTAAAACTGTTCCAAATGCTTTTGCCAAAAAGCCATCCTTTCAAACAAACCAAGAGAAAGACTCTGCGTTTGCCTGCAAGCCTATTTCAAAAGGTACAAGTTGAATTGTGTTCTTTAACTTCCACCTGCTAGTTTTGTTAAAGACAAATGTGCACCTACTGTCTCAAACCCTCGACTATATATTCTGAAAGCCAACCTCTCTTCAGCTGAGTGTTTTGTGTTTTTATCTCCTCCTTCTACCCCATCAACTAATTGATGCATTAGCCTATTTTGGGAAACACTTTGGTGGGAAGGAAAATTAACTCCACATAAGACAAGGTATTTTTAGGAACACGAAACCCCTCGATGGTGCTTTACTTATTTCATTATCATCAATCCTCCACATCAGGAAGAAGAAAACATTATGTTGGCTCAATGAGAATTATTTTTTTTAAAAAGAATAATCTGGGTGCAAATTAATGAGCGGAAACTGGGCTATATATTTTCAGTCACTTTTATTAAGCTTTCACCTAATCGTTTTATAACGGGGTGTCATTGAAGGCCGCACGAGAGTTGTGTTTGACCTCAAGGAGTTGGGCTGGGCATGGTCAGGATGGGCATGGCCAGCTCGACATCACTTGTGTTGGGGGCACCTCTGGCAGCCCAAGCGCTCTGCCAATGAAAACAGGCTCCTGAGTTCCGTTTTAGGTTGCGATGGCCTCCTGCAACCCTCTGCCAGTGAAAACAGCTTAGGAGAGCTGTCCATGGCCCTCCCGAGCTCCGTTTTTACTAGCAGAGGCACCGGAAGTCAGTCCTTTGCTGTTTCCAGGGTGGCCTCACAGGCTAGATCTAAGCACCCCGTAGGCCGGATCCAGACAACGAGCCTTGAGTTTGACACCCGTTTTATAACTATTGCATCACTTTGTAGCTCATTAAATAAACTAAATGGATATAAACTTAGAAAATGGCACAATGTTTAGAGAATCATTGCAAAATCTAAAAAGTGATAGATGTGTGTGTGTGTGCGCGCACGCACACACACATTTGCACTCATTTCTCCTTTAAAATAGGGGTGAGCCATTATTTTAATTTCTTCATTTTGGTTTTATTCCTCATTTATCTCACTTTTTATTATGTCCCTGCCCACTGTGGCTACAAAACGTTTGCTAATGTGCACTAACAGGCCCAGACACCACCATGCGGAGTTAACAAGGGTTAAACTGGAGAGATGAATGTCTTCTTCTGAAAGTGGGTAAAACTTTCCATGGGGTTAGTGACTCTTACAAGAGAAATCTCCCAAATGTGCATTAAGTCTAAGTGTATTCAAGTACTTTGAGCAAAATCTCCCTTAAGGTCTTGCCATACAGGTAACTAAAGGGACAAACACATTGGCAGCTGGCCCACTGCACACTCTGCATGCAGTCCTGTGCTCCTCACAAAAACTGTAAATGTCTCACAGGGCCATTAAATGCAGCTACATCCTTTAATTCTTTCAAGAGCACTCCTATTCTTATGTCAACTTACCAGTAGAAGTGCTCCTCCACCATTTTTGTTACTGCTCTAGAAACAGCTCTCTCATGTTGGCCAAGGTGTTTGTTTAAATTCACTCCAAGCTTCTCTTCCAAAAAATCAATAATGAACTCTGTGCCGGATACCTTTTTGCGATTGTATTCGATCCACGGCATTTTCCCTTGGGGAGAAAGCTTTCCATCAAAGTAGTTCTGTGAAGCAAAACAACAAAACAAAAATAAAGCAATCACACGGTAGCTAAGACAGGTTCTGCTCTTGCAATGAATTCAATTTCACTCCTCCATAAAGTTGGCATGATCACCTAATGGCATCTCAAATCAGGTTTTCTCTGGCACAAATGTCAAAATCTCTCTTTTTCTCTCTCCCTCTCTTAAAGTTTTGATATTGGGGTTGCAAGATCAAAAAAATATTACAGAAACACTGATTTTCTGGTGTCATCTAGTGGTCATCTGGATTTTCATAGCCCAGATATAAGAACCAAATTGCCCTAAAGATTGAGGTAGGTTCTAACATGAAGCATAGGGAAGCCATCTATAGCAACCTATTTCAAATCACATCTGGGAGGTAGGACAGGATGGAAAGGCAAAACATCTCTCTGACTAGTTCAATAAGTCTTAAGACAAAGGAAAGATACAGTATTTGGGCTCTGTTACAGTCTCTTTAATATCTTGGGATGACAATACTTAACAAAAAGTGTTGTTCTGGGGAAAATAGGAGAAGGAAGGAGTGTTGATATGTTCACCTTGAGTTGTACATGAAAAAACAGCAGGAAAAATATCTTTTTCAAATGTTATAATGCAAGTAACAAAACCTTTTCATTCCCTAGGCTTTTAAAAACTCTGCTAGGTATCAGTGAATTAACAACACTTCTTTTTTATTTATTTAAATATCTATCTATTCATTACTTTATCTACCAATCATATTTAGGAGCCGTTTCCCTCACAGAACCACTCGTAAGATGGCAACCCATGTGTTCTTGTCAAGAGGCAAAGGGACTTCCTTTGTTTTTTCTTGAAGACATTTCACTTTTCATCAAAGAAGCTGCTTCAGAGTTCTGACAGGTGTTCTTATTTGGGTTTTTGTATTATGAAAACATTTCTATTAAAAAAAAATTAAAATATGCTTCTCATGTGGTTGCTAGGATGACAGAAAGAATGCACCATCAATAATGTTTTAAGAAATAAGATCTTACGAGAGTATTGGTAATAGTATCACTGCCACTATTATTACTACTGCTACTACTATTACAACAAGTACCGGTAGTAATAATAACAATACATGAATGAAGACAAATATACGTGTCCCAGAATAATGTTGCGGGATACAATCTGTGTTGGTAACTGGGACCAGAGGTTATGTTTTCAAACTTTCAGATACATCCTGGAGCCCATCCTCAGGGAACTTCTCTCTAAAGTTAGGGTATGTGCCATATGGCCATTCATAGCCTTTAGGAACCTTGCAGAGTGCTCTTGGGGCTGGGGAGGGCAAAAATGAGCGCAAAATGAGCTGGGTTTTGCTCATTTTTGCCCCCTACCCCACCCTCCAGGAGCACTCTATAAGCCTCCTAAAGGCTATGCATGCCGTGTTTTCGCAAAAAGCGGGCCATTTTTGGGAGGTCTGCAGATTGCAAAAACTTTTTTTAAAATTTGCCTCTTCAAAATTTTGGTGCATCTTATACTCTGGTGCGTCTTATACTCTGAAAAATATGGTATGTACGTGGGCTAGAAAGAAGTTCCCTAAAGATGGCCTCCAGCACAAGTCCAAAAGCTCGGATGACAAAATCTCTGGTCCCAGTGACCGACCCAAATTGGATCCTGCAATAATAATACAGGAACCCAGAAAAGTGTACATAACACATAGATATTTTCATATGATATTTTATGCTTTATATGAATGCTCATTCATATAATTTAAAGATACAAATAATGTAATTTTCTATACAGCACCTTTTGGATGAGGAAGATAGCAAACAAAGTTTGTGATGGAATTTTTCTTTTTGTCCATCTGTAACTCTCACATGGACATTCAAAAAAAGGAGTGGAACGTCCATCATATTCCTTTGTTTTCAATCTTTGCTAGTTTTGACACTACCACACTGCAGATGCTGCTGCTTCTGATTATATCTTTAGAACCAAAAAGAACATTAAATTACATCTATTTAGGGAAGCTAAATAATTCTGGTGTAAATTTCCTGATGCACCAGATTACCTGGTAAGGCAAATCAGCCATCCTCAAGTAAGTCTCCATTTTCAAGCAGAAAGGAGATAAACTGGGAATGCCATTATTTGGCCTTGAGAATTGATGTAGGATGATGGCATCTTTTGAATCGACTTCTTGTTCTTTCCTAGAAGAAAAATAAGCAAGGAGAGTTTAAAAAGCAGAAAACATTACATCTTGGAGAGCATTGAAGTACATAACACACACAAACTACAATGCAGTTGCTCAGACAGGAACTCTATTTGTCTTGTCAGAGATTACTGCCCTTGTTATTCATCATTTCTGAAGTTTCTAAAAGGCACTTAGCAATAGCAAAGTAAGCCAATAAGCCAAACTGAATTTGTATGGAAAATTACAAGCCTTTCCAAGTTTACATAATAAAGAAAAACTAAAAGTAGTAATCCTAATTTTAAAAATGAAAGCAAACACCAAAAGCACAGTGTAATTATTACGTTGCATAACTCTCAAATTCCAGATAAAGCATGCAAAATTTACTTGAACTATTGATAAATAGAGACATCACCCTGACAAAGTCATTAGAATACTATGCATTGTTCATCCAATTGTTTCACTTGGTCTGATACCAAGACAGATGTCTTCATAAACTAGAAGATCATTTCAAAGAGAATTATAGACCTTTGTTTCCATACTGCCAGTACGGTCTTTGAGTCTCTTGTTGGATTCACATACTATGCTATGACATACAAAAAGCCTTTAACTTATGACAGCAGTTGGGACCAGAATTTGCATTGCTAACCAAGACTATTGAGTCAACCCCATTTTATGACCTTTGTGCCACAATCGTTAAGCAAATCATGCAGTTGTTTAAGCAAATCTGGATTCTCTCATTGATTTTGCTTATTGGAAGCCAGCTGGGCAGGTGGCAAATGGTGATCACATGATCCTGGGACACTGCAACTGTTGTAAAAATTGCCAGTTGCTAAGTGTCTGCATTTTGAACACACGACCATGGGAGTGCTGTGATGGTTATAAGTGCGAGGATTGGTTGTAAGTCAGTTTTTTCAGTACCACTGTAACTTTGAATGGTTACTAAACAAGTGGTTGTAAGTCAAGGGACTACCTGTAATGTGATTTCCTTTTATTTTGACTTAGTACAAGGATGAACTATCCATGGCATAAGGGCTATGTAAGTCTTCCAAGCCTTCATACTGAAATTCAATAGCCAAGTACCAACTTTTGAGGGTCCTTTCTATTTGTGCTCAAATAATGCAAAATAACCGTAATTTATTCAGATTGCTTAATAATCCTAGCCTTCATTTTGAATCAGTGCCCAACTAGAAAAAAGGCAAAATTTATCATGATTTGACATTGTATATAAACACTTTGTCATTACAATCAGTTCCATTATTTACAAACATCATATGCATGATTCTGCATTTCAGCCACAACACCCTTGTCATCATGTGCCTTAATTCTTGAGTCCCTTTCCCTCCCTCCACTCAGCACTTAGGGAAAAATCTTCTTCCCGCAGAATAGGCTAATAATGCATTATCCCAGTTTCAAAATTTGACATGGATATGTTCCAGCCAACTTCCAGGAGACCGGACCAAAATTTAGCTTCAATTCCAGAAAATAAACATTACATCAATACCAAGAGACTATGAGCAGACATTGGCTTTTAGGCTAAAATATAAATTCTAAAAAATAAAGCCACAAAAAGAACAAGACTAGTGAAAGGGAAAGCAAAAACAATCTATTCCTTTCCTATTCTCCCTTCTCTCATCCTTTTTAGGGAGTTCTGTCACACCAACCTATGGATTCTTCAACTTTATCTGAGGCTGCAAAAACAAAAATAATTTGTTCTAGATCAGGGGTGTCAAACTCAAGGCCCGCAGGCTGAATCTGATCTGCAGGGTGCTTGGAACTGGCCCGTGGGGCCACCCTGGAAACAGCAAAGGACCAGCCTGCTGTGCCTCTTCCAGCAAAAACGGAGCTTGGGAGGGCCACACGCAGGCTCCGTTTTCAACTGCAAGAGTGTCCTGCAGTCCTCTGCCAGAGAAAATGTGCCCCCCACTGTCCCCGATCTCCATTTTCACAGGAAGAGGACTAGCAAAACGAACTAAAAACAAAAGGAGAAAAGTTTCCCCTTTTGCATTTGAGCATCCATGAAAAGATAGGAAAGGAGAAAGAGAAAGAGGAAAGACAAAGAAGGAAAGATGGGAAGAGCGTGAGGAAGGAAAAATAAGGAAAGAGGGGAAGGAAGGAAGGAAGGAAGGAAGGAAGGAAGGAAGGAAGGAAGGAAGGAAGGCAGGCAGGCAGGCAGGCAGGCAGGCAGGCAGGAAGGCAGGAAGGCAGGAAGGCAGGAAGGAAGGAAGGAAGGAAGGAAGGAAGGAAGGAAGGAAGGAAGGAAGGAGAGAGAGAGATTATTGTTCTGACTTAGGCTTCCCAAGAGCATGAAGCAGGCTCCTTGTCCCGACAAAAAACCCTTTTATTAATTTACTGTGAATTCTGCTCATTCACCTCTAGCAAAGTCTTTCAAGGGAGGATTTACAGTCACAGACCTTATCTGGCTTGGAGAGCTGATAAGCCGATAATTGCACAAATTGGTAAGGAGTCTCGGAAAATCACAAGCCAATTAAGTGAACTAATTGTCTCCTGCAAACTCCACTCCCCTTTTGCTCTTCTTTTATTTTCTCTGGGAGGGGTCATTCATCGTCCACCTGTGGCCTTATTCCCAAGTCTACTTCCAAGTCTGTTCTTTAGCTGTTCCCTCCGAATGTGCACATTGGGATCAGGCTCCAACTGTTCGTCTGCCTCACTGATGTCTGACTGTGAAGGCAGCTGACAACTGGCATACGGCTCTGGCCTCCTCTCTGCCTCCGACACAGAGCCCTCATCAGAGCCTTCCCCAGGCTCAAAGACTGGCCCATGTTCCTCCCCAACCTCCTCACTGTCCGAATCTGCTGCCAGCTCCACTGGCCGCTGGTAGGCCACAACAATTATAATGAGAGGGAGGGAGGGAGGGAGGGAGGGAGGGTCTACGGGAAGTCCTGCCTTATCACTTGGCTACCACAGGTAGCCCCGACACAAGTGATGTTGAGCTGGCCATGCACATACACACACCCGCTCCAAGGTCAAACATAACCCTGATGTGGCCCTCAATGAAATCAAGTTTGACACACCTGTTCTAGATTCTCCTGTGGAACTATTTCCTTTTTGCAGGCCATTAAGAGAAACTCTCATAATAACCATGATTCTGTGGGGCAAACTTGGTGCTTTAGAGATTCCATCTCCTATAACAGGGCCAACTTTCTTTCAGCTGGTCAAGCCCTTTTATTTACTGGCTCAAAGAGCTAGTTTTTTACCATTTTTATTTTTATATTTTGGGGAGGGATGAGTAGTAGCTTGCTCAGTAAACATGCCTGACAACACTATAGAGCAGTGATGGCAAACCTTTTTGGCACCGAATGGCCAAACCAGAATGTGCGTGCATGTGTGCGTGCCGAAGTGCCAGAAACCCGAAGATGAGCTGGCCGACATGCACATTCCTGTTTTTTGCCTGTTTGGGGGGGGGGGGGGGGGTTGGCTTGAAAAATGGCCTGAAAAT